ATTTTTTAATGGAAAGGATCTCAGGAGGCAATTCCCCATATTACTCTGAAGTATGTATATAAATATTTGAAGTAGTAATTTTTTTTAAAAGAAGTCTAATTGTAATAGAAATTTTAGTATGGTGCACATTAAGGTAATCTCAAAAATGTTACCAACTCCTCCCATAGAAGGATGTTAAGAGATCATTTTTGCATGAAATAACCTGAAACATTTGGTAATTGTCCGAGCTACGAGATGTTCATGTTTCACAGAAAGAAAAAAACCCAACCAAACAAAACCCAAACCAAACCCAAACTCGTGCAGAAAATCCCTCCAAATCCACCTACTGGACTTTGCTTAGTCAGACATTGGCAGTGATTGGCAGCTCCCCATTATGCCTCTAAGTACTGCCCCTTCATTAAAAGTGTCTTTTCAAGTGAGCTGCAGCCAAAACCACTGTTCCCAGACACTTCAGATTACTTTTTTAAATGACATTTTTAATGAAAAACAGCAGTTTAAATCAACTCTATGTGATAATATATACAGAAAGTTACTTTCCAGAGTAGAAGAAATTAATTTTGTGTGAAATGCTGTGCAGTACCAGGCTTGGGAGAAGAGTGTGTATTTAAAGTGCCACCATGTGTGCTATAGAGCATTGACTTTCCAAGATAACTGGCTGGTTTCTTTACTTATTCATTGCATAAATAACACGAGCTGAAAAAATACAATATATACTTCACATACATAATGCAGGGAGGCATAACTACAGAAACCCCATTGTGCACATGGATATGTACACTTCTACATTGAAGTTCTTTTCTTTGTTTGTTTATTTCTCAACTTATCTGAGACTAAAATACAAGACTAAGGCAAAGATACCCAAAGTATGGAACTGCTCTGTGGTCAGTTAAGGCCCATAATGTAGTGGCTACAAGTCCTTCCACAGAAAAAGCAGACAAAAAAGCTCAGAGGGACTACATCCATATGAAGTCAGTAAACTGAAGTTTTTATTTGTTTTAATGCAAAATACTCAACAAATTTTAGGTACAATTTTGTTCATTCCATTTCAAATGAAGAGGGAATACAGCAAATGCAACATTTGTTTCCATCCACTTGATGTCGACAAAGTTGAAATTTTCTTGCAGGTTTAATTACTTTCTGTAGCTCGGTTGTCACTGTTGTACAATTCTATTGACAATCAAAACTACTTTGAAGTAATATAATTAGTTTTAATGGTTTTGGGTCACAGAAGGCTTCATATTAGTTTTATAGTACAACTGTACTATTTCACTTCCAGTTCCACTGATGCATTCAGAACTTTATTCAAACTGCACTTTAAGTTCGTTAAACTCAACAGAAAACAAAGAAATAGCTTGGGAAGAAAATAAAGATTTTATGAGTATTTTTGTCCTTATTGCTGATGTTTTTCTTTTTCATTATGTTTTCTTATTTTCTAGTTATTCTGTATATAGAAGAGCTTTTTTATTTAAACTTTTACCAAACTTTTTGACTTAGACATCAAAACCTAAAAGTGGGTCACTGCAAAAACACCTTGTGACCTCTAAAAATAATCTGCTTCATTTGGAAAAGTATCAAAACCTCAACAGAGCAAGGGCCTTTGTGAAAATCATTGCTAATGAATGTATTAATAATGTGGTATGACAAGGAATTAGAAGATTAAATATTCATGTTCACATTGCTGTGTTACCTCTTACTGTATTGTATTATGGCAAAGATTCTTAAATAAATGATCTGGCTTTGGACTGATGTGAAATGAATTTAGATTGATGTGACTCACTATTGCAATAGAGCTGTTTGTTTCTTATAGGCTCTGCATCACCAGTATGATGCATAAGTAAATATTAGTCCTGGGTTGTGGGTCATTCTTTTTTGACTCAAAATGGAGTTTTAGTAGGTGCTGGACAGCAAAGTGAGAAACAATCCTTATTCAAAAGGGTCTCAGTCTAAATCCTGAAATCTCTACCAAACGTTCTGGTACATCATATAATTGCCCTGCATCTCCTGAAATTGTCCCAGACTATCCTCCACAAGTCTTTGGAGACACGTGATCTGAGAAAAATAAGTCACTACTATTCATATGCACAATGGGAAAACCAAAAAAGTTTGAGGGCGTTACTCCAAGTAGCTGAGTTTTCTTGAGGATAAGCAGGGAGCAGGTCCCCTACATACAGCCAAGTGTCCTGGCTATGTTAAAATGTATTGGGTCAACCATGAGGGCACCTGAGCTTCTAAAAAAATGAGAAAATTAATGGAATATTTTAATGTTCAAGACCATCTTAGTCTTAGTCATAACTGGCAGATGATTTTGGCTACAACTATCAAAGAAAATAACTTGAGTTTTCTGTCCGATTTGGAAAATTCTAGGAAAAAATATATTCAGGTTTAACAGATCTAAGTCGTAACAAGCTGTAATTGTGCGCGGACAAGACGTAAGAGCAAGGAGAGGACGCTGGGATGAGCAGAAACTGTCTGGAGAAGATGGTGCGACGTGGAGGGGCTGCCGGAGACGCTGAGGGAAGGGGAGGCGAGGGCGGCGCGGAGCCGGGGCACTGAGGGGACCGAGACACGAGAGGAGCTGAGGCGCCAGGCTGAGGGGGCTGAGCGGGCTGAGGGAGCTGAGAGGTTTGAGTGGGCTGGGGGATTTGAGTGGGCTGGGGGATTTGAGTGGGCTGGGGGATTTGAGTGGGCTGGGGGATTTGAGTGGGCTGAGTGGGCTCAGGGGTTTGAGGGCTCTCTCCCTGCAGTTCCCGCCGCCGCCGCCACGCGCCGCCCTCCGCCGGCCGGAGCCGCCCCGCCGCGCCCCCACCGGCCCGGCAGGGGGCGCCGCTCCCGCCCGCGGGGCGCGGAGGCTGCCGGGAGCCGCCATCTTCTCAGCGTGCGGTACCGGGAGCGGCTCCAGCGCCGGGGCCGCACCGAGCGGGACGGGACGCGTCCGGTGAGTTGTCAGGGGAGCGCTGCCGCGCCCGGCAGTGCCCGGGGAAGCGGTGGGACCGGGGGCAGCGGGAGGACCGGGGGCAGCGGGAGGGACCCCGGGGCGGGTCGGGCTGCACGGCTGCCCGCACTGGCGGCTCTCGCTGCCCCGCGCGGCTCGGCGGGGTCCCCGCCCGGGGCAGGGGGCTCGGTGCCCCCGCGCCTCCCTCACGGCGGTGCCCCGGGGGTGCCGAGAGCCGTCGGGGCCGCCGCTGTCCCCCCGGCCGCTCACGGCCCCGGCGGGGTGGTCCCACGGCGGGGCGTTGCCATGGGGACGGGCACCGCCGCCGCCGCCCGGGGCTGCCCCGAACCGAGCCGTGCCCACTCGATTATTATTTTTCTTTTATTAGACCCATCAGACTTTCTAGAATTTCCTTTCTGCTTCTTGTTAATAAAAATGCGATTTTGTTCAGTTTTTCTTTGTTAAGATCGCAGTAGTTCTTAAGAATTCTGCAGGGAGAAGTTCAGTCAGGTAATATTTTTTTTAGCTGTAATTGAAACTTCAGGCAGTTCTCTTTTGCACAATGGCTATGGTTTTACGCTTATATATTTCTCTTTAAGTTTATTTCTGCTTCTGTACTACTGTCTGATGCTCCTGTCTTCCTGCTAGAAGCCCTCTAAATGGTTGTAAGTAGTCATTTCAGTCGAGGTAATGTCTGTCTTGTTAAACTGTTATTAATCTGCACCTGCTACAAAGTACAAATATGTTTGCAGACTGTTTTCATGACTCCTGCACTGCTACAATCTTACATTGCTGTTTTCATTGCTATGATTCATGTAGCTAACTGGGAGGATGCTTCATTTCTTCAATGAACAGTTTGAAACAACAGTATCTTAGAATAGGCCGATTTGGAAGGGAAAGTAACCAACTATGAAAAATCATTTTTTTTGTCAAATACTTTTTTTAAAATCTAATATCTTTATGAAGAGCAGTAGGAAATGTATTAATTTAATGTTCTCATTGTTTATCCTGAAGTAAATCACCACGTAACAGAGAAGATAACAGTGAAGTATTCTCTCTAAGAAAGGAAGTTTTCATGTAATTGATTAGTTGATTGAGCTTTTATTTGGATATTTTTCATTTTCATAATTGCTTCATTTTGCTATCTGCTTGATTGCTTTGCAGTTTTCTTTGAAGTCCTTTAAAGAACCCCCAACTACTTCCTTCCGTAGAAAGCTTGGCACCCACAGCGTTGGCCAAGAAGGGCAAAGGAACAAGTTAATGATTGTTCTGCTCCTCCTCTGACCTTGCCCTTTGTAACCAGCAGCAAAAGTGAAAGAATTCTGATGAGGGTGGTTGTTTGGTTGTGGTATTTTTTGACTGCTTCCACTGATATGAGGCAGACTTGTGTTTCTTATCAGAAAAGTAAAAAAAAATATGTGATCATATCTCGATTTTTATAAGTATGAAAATGGATTTCATTGCAGTGTGTACATGTGATAGGGCTTCTGTGTCTATTGCTGTCCTCCCAGGGTGGGTGAGACAGCATTTGGGAGCTGAAGAGTTCCAGAAAATCCCAACTTGTAATCAGATACAGAATTTCCTAGGAGAGAGAAGTCTGGGTCATGGGATGTTATTCTATCTGCTGTTACAGTTTTTCTCCTTTTTGCTGCCCTCTAGTTTTTAATTCCAAGATTTTGTTTTGTTTTCTTTGGATTTTCTGAAGTATCTCCAATTTATGTGCCTTGCTAGTTTTAGTAAAACATCTACATCTCAGACTTTCCCTGACCTCAGACTCTTTCAATTTAAGAATATATCTTAATTTGGATTTCTGGACCGAAAGAGAATTTTAAAATGTTTTTTTGGTCATAGTTTTGAAGTTGTGCCTTCAGAAACAAAGCTGAAGATTATGTGAAAGTTTTTTAACCTCTGGTTTCTTTTCTATCAACAGGAATGTAAATACTGGAATTTGTTCTAAAGATTGTTGGAAAATAGGGATGAAACCAGTATCTGCTTTGATTAATCTAGTGCTATACTTGGTCTGATGGGATACTAATTTCTTAGGGAGAACTATTGTAAGTACCTTTTGTATTTTTTTGTTTCAGCAACTAACAGCATACAGCCTTTTGCTGCTTTTTATTCTTCATAGCATGTGGTATTTTTCATGGAGTTCTAATCCAAAATATTCTGAACATGGTGATTGAAAGTCAGGCTCTAGAAATAGCAAGATTTATGAACATGAAAAAAGTAGCTGTGTGTGAAGATTAAAAGGCTGTTAAGACTAAAGAAGGCATGCTGCAAAGCTTGAATGGAGTGTCACTCCTATCATTAAAAATGTAAAATGAAGCTGCACCTATCTTGCAGATCATTGTCTTTCTCCTTCTATGTTTTGGAGAGCTTCTTATTAAATAGAAAGGCAAGCAGAGTGTTTTCAACAGGTGCAACTTTCATTTTTGGTACAATATTATAATCAGAATTAATCCCCAATTCGAATTTAAGATTAAAATACAGAGGATAATTCAAGACGGATTTCCAAGGTTACAAGATGGTATTTGTCTAAATACATATATATATATATGTACATACGTAAAATATATATGCAGATTCTTCTCATTCTTTAATAGCAAAACATTCCTGCCAGTGACAGCAGAAAATCTCAGGATGCTGTTTGTGCCCCAGGCTGCAGTGAGTGACTGTGCCATGAGCTCAGCTGGCTGGGCAGGAGCCCTGGCTGGGGCAGGGAACGCCCTTGGCAGGGGCGAGGCAGGAGCCGCCGGACTCCCTGAACTTGGGTGCTTTTGCAACTTGGCTTTAGAATCCAGGAGGCTCAGCAGTTTTGCTGTGGCATTAATCATGCTGTAGCTAAAGCACTATATCATTATGAAGGAAGCCCTGTTTTCCCGTATTTTTCTTTAAGTTTAAAGGATTTGTAAAAGGATGTAGCACTAAACCTGAAGCGTGGCTCATATTCAGGGCACTGCAAGTTTTGATGGGCATTTTTTACTGTTGGTTGTTCTCCTTACTAACCCCTGTTGACTGGGTAATTTTTTTGTTCCTTAGCCAAAGGAGCAGTAACTTACTTAGGCTACAGCATGCCAGTTTTTCCTATAGTGGCTGATATTTAATCTTTCATTCTCATACAGTTTTTCTGAAGACATTTAACTTGCAAGTTCACAAAAACAATTTCTTTTTTTCTCTGCCCTTAGCAGATGCAAATTTGTCCCACTCTTATCTATGGAGAGCCTTGCCATGAATCCATTTTTTCTTGTTTATTGCTCTATTCCGTACCCATATTACTTCTTCATGAAGAAAAATACAATGCGAAAATAATTCTCAGAATGGTCTGTTGGCCTGGTAATGTAGTTTTCAAAGATGGGGAGAGTGTAAGAGTCTTTGTGACTAAAGTAAAAAATTAGGAGGATATAATAGCTTACAGTAACCTTGAGCAGCTGACTGACTTCCTTGGATGACTGACCCTGGTGGGAGGCTAAGTAGGACCTGTCTGAAGAACAGACAGATGAAGCTGAGCTGATGGGTTATGTAACCTTTGGCACTGAATCAAGAGGCATTCTGTAGACACACACCCTCTTTCTAAAATAAAGTAAAATATCTCTAGGCAGAATTTTTTTTAAAAATTGCTATTGATAATTAGATGTAAATATGCTAAAATTTGTAAAGCCTGTTCACATAAATCCTGTGTTTCTCGTGGTTTTAATCCTTTTAAGTACACTTCCAGTTAGCAGCACGCACCTTCCTTGATCTAGTTGCAGCTGAGCAGGCAGAAACTGAAGTTCATTGAAGTGACATGTGCATAATCTGTGTGTCAGCCAGTACAGTATGTTCTGTTTGATATTTACTTGGTGCACTACTCACATTTCAAAATTCAGTCAACAATAAACACTAATATTGCTCTTACAGTCAGCAAGGCAAGGGGTAGAAGCTCCATGTTTGTGTACCCTTTGGTCAGGAACATGAGGCTGTGCAAGTAGATTTCTTATTTGGAGGTTACTGCCATGCTTGTCATGTGGAAGAGTTAAAAATAACTCCTTAAAATGCCAGTCTCTTTTAGGGTTAGGGCTAGAAATAACCATATCTAATAAAATATACTTGAAAGGGACAGTGGGTTCTGTACTTTTCCTTCAAAGTATTTCAGATCTAGGTAATATGATAATGTCATATTTTTGCATGAAATCATACCTGTTAATATTTTTTAAGCTGATTTAATCATGGGTTTTTTTGCAGAACCACAGTGTAAAATTTTGCATTTTGAATAAGTTAACATTTTTTTCTATAAATTTTTGGTTTTATCTCTTCTGCTGAAACATAATCAATGGACTATCTAAATGGATACTTTGGCTTGGAAGTGGGTGATGTGACAAATTGCCATCAGATCTTTAAAAGTAGGATTAAACTTGGCTCAGCTTCTGGAAGCTTTTCAGGCTAAAATAGATTTTGTTTACTCACTGTATAAGGAAATATTTAATGCTTCAATAATAGTTAAAATAGCTAGGTTTTATAAGTGAAGATGGTCTTTAACATTTCTGGATGTTCTACTTTTGATTCACATGTGCTTAATTAAAACCTATGCAGAAAGGCTTAATTAACCTCTGCATACATACTCTGTTTGCTGCTGGTATGTATTATAAAGTCTTTTATACCTGTCTTAGGTGGCTGATTTTTGTGAAATTATGTTTCTTAGCCATAAACTATTCAAAAATTTACCTTCAGTCATTTTTCTTCTGCAGGTAATACCTGTCTGAGCGCTGTTATGATGCAGGATATTGCTTTAAATCATTATTCCAACAAAATGGAGTAAGGCAACTGTTAAAATACCCATGCAGAAATACTATTCCTGAACTACTTGTAGTTTTACACTTTGAATAGTTTTTTTTTAACACTTGTTTGAAATAGAAATAATTGAACTTGATGCTGCATTTAAAGTAGTACTAATGTTGTATATAAACCAATGCTTACACAAGCAAGGAGTTTGCCTCAATGCTTAATGAATATTTAAACTTCTGTTATGAAAATCCACTTGTTTTCAATATATGTGTGTATAAAAATACATGTTTTGTGACAGCTTTCATATTACTACATGTAATTACTTGTTTGGGGTTTTTTGCCCTTCAAAGTCAAAACAAGCATATAGGTCAGATTTGTAGGTCAGTCAATGTAATTTATTTAGAGGCTATTTTTGAGTTTGCTAAGCTAAACCAGAAAGCTACAGTATAATTTCTAGTGTCATTACATTAGTCATGAGCTGACATACAGAAGGAATTAAAGCTGGTGCTGGGAAGTCTTGTGATTACATGAAGCACTCATGCTGGGTCGTCACGTTTTCTCTGCCTGCTTGTATGTTAATTATCTTTGTCATCTTGGCAGGGGATGCAGCAATCCTGCAATGCACAGGCATTTTAATTTCCCCCTCTCCCTTCTGAACTCTAAAAATGCTTTTGTCCTTCCTGTAGAAACTAAATCTGGTTTTATATAAGCAATTGTTATGATTATAACATCTGCATTGACCTCACAGAAAGTATAATCAATATTAATGCAGGCATTGAGGAAGCTGAATTTTTGCCTGCTCACCTAACTTAGATGAGGACTGGAAATAGATATATTTCAGGATTCATGTGGAAAATGGAGAAGGACACTTGTTCAAATAAATATGTATTCTGTTCTTCCTTTTTACTAATTGCTGAATTATTACTGCTTTGTGCTAAGAATTTGATTTGGGCAGTCTCACAATAATTTAATTTACCACTTTGAGATGTGTATGAGCAATAGCCAAGACTTTCTAAGCCAATAATGTCACCACACTTGTCTGGACAAGGGGTGAAGTTTTCCTGTGCTCTGATTTCATCCATCCTGGGATGAAGGCAATGACTGTGACAGTTTGTGGTTCTTGCACAAGACCTGCTGTAGCCAAGTTGATTCCTTTCGTCCTCGGGAGAGATGGGGCTTGTCTGAGCTCCCTTAGCAGCCTTCTGCAGAAAGGACATGGGGCAGGACTAGCAGTTGATACTCACCCTGGGAAAGTGTAGGGAGGAATAGGAGTGTGCAACAGGTGGTGAGGTGATGGCAGAGGCACAGGAATTTTTGGAAAGAGAGTGTAGGTAGGGCATGGAAAAGTGGAAGCAATGTGCTGGGCGTGAACATTAATGCCAAGACACTGATCTTGAAAGCAGTGCACAGCTCGTTGTTAAAATGCCCTAGTGAAACACCTGGTAGTTTATTTCACAAGATATTTTGCTCAAAGATAAATTGAGGTATGTCTTTACAATGTAGCAGAAGTACAAAAAGTTTTTTTTTTTTGTTTCTTTGGTTGGGGTTTTTTGGTTTTCTTTTAAATGAGGTGGGGGTCATGGCCTTCATATGGGGATAATAGGTAGTTGTGCTTGAAAAGTGGGCTCTAAAATCTTGCAAATATGGTCTGGTTCAGACCTGTATTTTAAATTGAGTAACTTTGTATTTCAGGTTCAGAAGCCTTTTGGCAGGGTTTTACTCAGAAGTTTTGTTAAATATTTTGTTTTTATAGCTTTTAAAGCTATAAACCGGTGGGTTTTCCAGGTAAATGTTTATAGGCCTGTCAAACATCTTGATATTTCTGCCTTTCTTTACATATTTTTTAAATTATTTTGGTTTTAGTGTTATGGTGTTTGCCTCTGTGGGGCACATAATGGGTGAGAGGGGAGGGAAGAGGAAGAGACGTTTTTATACAGAAAGGGTGGTAGTTGAATTTAGCCAGTTTCCAGTTTGTGTATGGGTGTGATCTGTCCTTCTGTCTGTGAAACTAAACCAGATATTCTTTGTTTAGGAAACCTAAAGGAGAGCTCTGCCTATGCAGAGATGACGTGTAATATCCCCCATAATTCGGACTGTGCCACTCCAGACACTGACTGTGGCCAGGAATGGGCACAGGAACGCTGTCGCCTGGGAACGTTTGTTGGATTTCCCCTGGGCTGCCCGGTGTCGGCGTTAGCACTGGCACGAGCTGGCTTTGTTTACACTGGAGAAGGTGACAAAGTGAAGTGCTTCAGTTGCCATGCAACTATTGAAGGATGGGCATCTGGGGATTCTGCAGTTGAGAGACACAAACAGCTTTCCCCAAACTGCAAATTTATTACCGACTCTGCTTTTCTGGAAGATGATGTGGATCCTGTAGGCCAGAACTACCAGCACAGAACTGAAAATGGTTCCAGCAATTCAGCCCTCCTGTGTGCCCTGGATGACCCTGAGGTGGAGGCAGATTACCTTTTGAGAACTAGGCAGGTTGTGGATATGTCAGATACTTTGTATCCTAGGAACCCTGCTATGTGCAGCGAAGAAACAAGATTAAAGTCTTTTCACAACTGGCCCCTCAATGACCAATTGACACCACAGGAATTAGCTAATGCTGGATTTTATTATACAGGTGTTGGTGATCAAGTGGCGTGTTTTTGTTGTGGTGGAAAACTGAAGAACTGGGAACCCACTGACAGAGCTTGGTCAGAACACAAGAGGCATTTTCCCAAATGCCTTTTTGTACTAGGCCGGGATGTTGGAAATGTTCCAAGTGAATCTATTCCTGATGAATTTGGGATAAGTGGCCTGAACAATGCACAGCACCCAAGGAATCCATCTATGGCAAAGTATGGAAGACGTTTACAAACATTTTTGTCTTGGATATATCCTGTTGACAAGGAGCAACTTGCAGAAGCTGGGTTCTACAGCGTAGGTAAGCCAGACCTTAGAATGGCTAATACCTTTTGCAAAGGAATTGTATATGAGAAAACGTCTTGTTAGGGAAAAAAGGGCATTTTTAAAAATTCTAATATGCAATGATTTGCCAGAATTGTGTTACTCTGTTAACTACTTCTCACACTTCTTGTGTCTTAAGTACATTATATACATTATATCAGGTATGTTTAATAGCAAAATAGAAACTTGGTCATAAATTTACTTCTAGCAGTAAAACAGCCAAATGTTTTCCTTGCCTGCTAAAACCCTCATAATACATCTTTCACAATGACAGTTATTGGAGTTAGTATTTTTTAAGACACGAACTGCTGTCCTCGAGACCTGAGGTGTAAGGAGTGGGCCTGTGGCCTGCACAGAGGCCTGTGAACAAGACAATGCAGGTTGTGTGCCATTTTACTTTGTTAACACATGTTTGCATTATTATGGCATGTGGACATCCAGAACTAGCAGATGCCACTACTGCCTACTGTAAAAGCTTTATGAAGACACTGATGCCAGTGGAAGAGCTTTTACTCTTAGACATGTAGTGTTTGACTTAGATAAGACTCCAGTGTCTCTGTGCATTGGTTTCCCAGTTAGATGGAATTGCACAGTGCCATTAAAGACCTTTGAAATTCCTCTCTGAGAGGTGCTGTATGAGTGCAAAGTGTGAGGTCACAAAGAAAAGGAGTAATCTCTTGCTCTCTTCTTAATTAACTTCTCTTAGTAGCTCTCGGAAGAACTTTTTAATCTGATTCCATTTGTTCAACCTGTGGCCATAAATAACCTTTGGTATATTCCTGTATGGGTTATACATGGACAATATTTGTACCCAGCAGAAGTGTTTTTATTGATTTCTTCTTAAATTCCTAGAAGTACCAAGAGATCTGTATTGTGAAGGTGCAGTAACTGGGCACCAGCTTATCAGACCCGTGGCTGTTCAGGTGACTTCTGTGAAAACTGTTTCCTGTGGCCTGAGAATAATTTAACCCTCTAGAAAAACTCTGTCCATACCTCCTCTCATCTCAATAAACACAATAGCTAAGTAGTTTCTGGTGCAGTCTTGGATTACAGCAGACACAGTGCTAGAACAGAGAGAATGCAATTCTCCTCAGCTGGTTATGCTACTGCTGCATAGGGCCTGTTGAACTTAACATGGAAATGAAGGACCAAAAAGACATGTAAACATCCCTAATTCTTTGTGGCTATCTTCAGGGCTTGTTTACTATTGGATGGAGTTAATAATAGATTATTTTTAGCTTTTGCTTTTTATCTATAATAACTTACTCAAATAAAATTCAGGAAAACTTCATGCTACTCTTATTTTGTATTTTTTTAAGCTCAATTCTCTCCTGAACATTTGGTTTAAATCATGTGTGTTGTCCTCCGTTAAAATGGAGTTCTTTTTAGTTGAAATTGTGAATCAGTAAAATAAAGATTTCATTTCTTAGTAATGTAACATTTTAGTTGCAAACTTGATGTTATGCTTACTAGAAATTCTTGTGTGTTTCCTCAGGTAATGGTGATCATGTTGTGTGTTTCCACTGTGGTGGAGGATTGCGAGAATGGAAGGAAAATGAAGATCCATGGGATCAACATGCCAAATGGTTTCCCGGGTAAGGCATTTTTTACTGTTTTCTTGGTGCATGTCTGAGTCTTATTTACAGTATGTTGCATTTTAATGACAGAGCATATTAATAAAGGTTTCAGAAGGTTGATTATGGCTTAATAATTAAATTTATGAAAATAATTTTATGTTGGCTTATTTCTAGACATTATTAAAGGGAAGGAAAGATTTCTGTATCTGGACTTAACTGGTCTCTTAGCAAGAAGAATTAGGTAGTTTTGTGAATATGTATCTGATTTTTCTTCTCATTATCCAAGTGCTACATCTAATGGTTATCTTACTAGCTACATACATGTCAATGTTTGTAACTTATACCAGGATACAAAATGACTAAGCTTCTGTCACAGTGCAAACAAAGCTGAAGAAGTCAGCAGTGGCATGGAATTCAAAACACAGTTCTGTATAATTTTAAAGGATGAAGGATTCCAGACCCAGAAGCGCTTTTTAGACTGACAATGTTGTCTTAAATCTATTTTGAGGAAAGGAAGAACAGTATATGACTCAGTAATTCTTACAAGTGGACAGAAGCTGTCCAAGTACAAAGTCTCAGTTACTTATGTAACACTGATAAAATCAATGTCTTTTATGTGTTTGCTGCCAAATTTCTCTTCTGTGGTGAAAGGCTCTCTGGAAGTTTGAGATTGGTATTTATGTATTAGCTGTTCCCTTTTCCAATAGTGGTACAGGCAGATTTTAATTATTAGCCTCTGCCACTCGAAAGAGATACAATTCCAAGTTTTTGGCTTGGTGCAGCAAATGGTTAAGATGTGTTTTCTTGCTACATTTCACTCCTCTGGGTTTGGGTTCGATTTTGGTTTAGGTTGCTTAAACTATGTCAGATTTGATTAGATCCTCTGAGGTCATTAAGAGTCCTGTTTGGGGGGTTGTTGGCACATCAGTGGCAGTGTCAGTCTCACAGCTGCTGTCTGTGTCCCCAAAGGTGAGGTGGAGCTGGAGAACTACTACCAAGGAGTTGTGGCATTCCCTACATCTTGTGGTAGGGAAGAGCTCTGCCCAGTGGCTGAGACTGGCTGGAAAATAGTGAAAGCAAGCATGTAAGGCACCTGTCTTACCAGTGACTGCTTTGGTTGCAAAAGGCTAAAAGAACCAGCATTTTAACATCATGTTTGGTTTTAATTGGTCTTTACCTTTTTAAACCTGTGGCATGAGCTGTCATGGCCAATAACTCTTCAGCTTTCTGTTTCACCAAAAAAGTGAGAAAGTAAAGTACTGCTTAAGCGATTAAGATATTTCTAGAAATGTTTCAATAACATCACAGATGTTGACTAAACATTAGAGATTTTAAAAGCCAGCATTCTGAATTATGTAGGAAATTTATCAAAGCTTCCAAAGTTATGTAATAAATTTTTGCTTCTTATGTGGTTTTAGTAAAACTAAATATTTTCATTTTTAGGTGCAGGTTTCTGAGCAAGGAAAAGGGGATAGAATTTATAAATAATGTTCACTTAAGAGACACATGTAGTGATCCAACAGTAAGTGTCTTGCTTATTAATCATTTTGTTAAAATAGAAAAAGTCTTAACATAATTTTCATATGAAGTTACTCTTCTTATGTATCTGTCATTTAATTCTCCTGCTGCTTTTTTCACTGGCAGAAAGTGAAAGACATCAAAGTAGGTTTTGGTTCTGTCAATCAGAGTTTACAGTCTCCCAGTTCTCTGTAGCTGGATCATGGAACAAGGCCAGGGTACTCTGTATATGTTTTCTATTGGGTACTGAACAAGTGCCATTTGTTTTATTGCCTGGGAACCTAAGGTTTATGATGATTAAAAACAGATAAACTTTCTTTTCTTGTTACAAACGGTATGAAAGAGATAACAAAATACTGATCATTTTGCAATTGTTCAGAGTGAATTTAAAAAATAATCGAGATCAAATAGCTATTTTCTGTTTTGTAACTGTATAGGTTTCCTTCTACTTCTTCAGAATTGTAATTTTGTCTTTTTGTATTTCACTTTTAGACAGAAGCTGCTGAAGGGACAATACTTCCTAAAGGTATTCCCCCCTATTTTGGAATATCCATATTTGAATGTATAGTGAAGGAAATGATTAGATTTAAAAATAACCCCATAACATTTTTAAATAAAGCATGACAGGCAAATTGTTGGATGATACTCTTCCATTGCTACGTTGCTTCTAAAGAACTGCAGAATGAATTTTATTTCTCTCAGGGGAAATAGAATCATGGTTTGGTAAATATTGTAAAGTAGAGATTGCTGAACCATGGAAGAAGAATGTATAGGATGCAGTCTGACATCTAGTGAGTGTACATCAAGCATTGAATTAGCAGTGCTGTGGGATGGATGTTAAAGAATACTGAACTGAATCCTTTTTCATGGGGCAGGAAGAGTTGGGCTCTTAAATGGCAGGGACTAGGAAGCTGAGAAAGCTGAAGTAGTTTGTTATGTGTTCCAGTATTTCACATTCCTGCAATGCTTTTCACAAATACCAAGCAATAAAAGGATAGTAGGAGGACAGTCAAGCAGCTTCATCCCAGGGAATGAGAGCTGTTGCTACTAAGAGTGGTTACACAAAACCTGTTTAAGAAATCTCTCACACTGCTCATTTATGAGTGTGAAAATCAGGTTAAAAAATTTTACTCTTTGAACAATTTTGATAAGTAAGAGGAAGGGGAAGGTCCAACATGCTGAAAAATGTTTTCCCAAAGTAGTGTTGTGTCTTACCATGGATAGACCTGCTTGCTTGCTGATGGTGCTGTGTTTTGGTTTTATAAATTCAAATTGTTTATTGGTTTCTCTCAACATATGTATGATTTTTTTTTCTTCCCTGAACTGAACTAAAACTAATGTTACCAAATACCTACAAGTAGCAAAATTCTCAAATTTGAAATATGGTTCCTTTGGCTACGAATTTGCAAACGTCTCTTAGAGTACTGTAGTGAATACTGTCCAATAATTAGGTTCATCCTTGTTAAATTGTTTTTATTTTTTTTTTTAATTTCTTGTTTTAGATGGTCTCTTACAGAATCCTTTGGTACAAAGTGCCATAGCCATGGGTTTCAGTTTGTCTGAGATTAGGAACACCATGGAAAAGAGATTGCAGATGACTGGAGAAAGTCACACATCTGTTGAGGATCTGGTAGCAGACTTAAGTGCTCAGAAAGAAAATACAAGGGAAGAAGAACCAAATGAAATCCCAATTGAGCAAGATGAGCTTATTCAATTACAAAACCTCTGTGTGTACTTTCATATCAGCTCTTTAGTCTGTGAAATACTTTTTGTTGTTGTCTGTTTATCCTACCCTCCGATCCCAGCCTTACCTAAGGTGAAGTTACAGTATTGTAACTTAAAATTCAAGGGATCTGTGTTTGGACATTCAAAAAACTGAACAAAGAGGGTGTTAAAATATTTGAGTGTAGCAGCATTTATAAGTATAACTTATAAAATAAGTAATATTAGTACCTCAGAAATGTGTGATACTGAAAGTCTAGTGTGCTTCTGGGAAAGGTTATATGTGCTAACAAAAAAGCCAAAATTGTGACAATTACATGTGAAAGCAAGAGTAACTATAGGTGTGGGGTATCTTGTGGCAAAATGAAATGGTCACAGTGATACACTGTCATATTCAGTGTGCTCAGTATGAAAAAGTCTTAGTAGGGGATTGGTTATTTTTCAGTATATAATTTTGCTTGGGGTAGAAGCATTTTCCTTCTTGGCCAATGAGAAGAATTGTACTTCTAAATGGTGTTTCTTTTCAGTTATTTGTGTTCCAGCTTTGCTGGGATGTGCAAGTCATGCTCAGAAAGCCCTTGTGGTGCACTCTGCAAATAGACCAAACCCAGGAATTCTGATTCAGGAGACTTGTAATTTAAGACAAGCATATGGGTGGCATGGTAGGCAGAGATCTTACCAGCCTACTCCTTTAAGTAAGATTTCTGATGGACTTTATGGGCAAAAAGAACTTGCAATGCAGCTGGACATTATTTTGGTGGTTTCAAGCTCTTACAGATATAGATAGCTAAACTCCCTGCTTGTACTGGCTTGGGAGATGTAATGAGATGAGAAGGGGAAAAAAAGAGGATTCTATGCTGCAGCTGGGATTCCTCTCTCTTGTAATATTTTATTTTGTTCTTTTTAAGGGTGTGACCTTTAAATCATGTGAAGAAAACATTGTCCTTGTGTGTAAAGAGAAAAAAAAAGAATGAGATTGATTGTTACTGAGTATGTTAACTTCTTTTTATGTGTTTTTCCTCAGACCTCAGCACTGAAGAGAAGTTAAGACGCTTGCAAGAAGAAAAGCTCTGTAAAATCTGTATGGCTAAAGATGTGTCAGTTGTCTTCATTCCCTGTGGTCACTTAGTTGCCTGTAAGGAATGTGCTCAAGTACTTAGTGAATGCCCTCTGTGTCGTACAGATATTATGAGAAAACAGGACATTTTTATGTATTAGTGAAATACACAGCACTAGGGATGCAAATGTTTCCTGCTTTATTGCTTTAAATATGTGCAATGTAATGTTAAAAATGCAGTTAATTCCAGGATGTAACCATATGGCAGTATTTAGATTTTTCTGCTGTCAAACTCTACGCGTTTTAACACTTCAAAAATTATTTAAATTATTTTTCTGAAGCGAATTTTTTTGTACGTAAAAAGCAATATAAAAAGGTAAATATGTATATTTTGTAACTTCAGTTCATAGACTGAAAGCCCAAATGATACAAACCTTTGTGATCATTCCTTTGCTTCACTTTGGTAGGACTCTGTATGACTGAAGTTTATGCAAATACAGTTGTATTAAGAGCCTATCCCTGTATAAAATTTGTAAGTAAGTTAATTTAAAATGCTGTTGTATACATGTGTATTATAGCTGAGATTTTAACTTCTTAAAAATGTTATGTAAGATTGAAAATATTATTTCTCTAACTGTGGTTGTGACATAATTCAGAATATACACACAAACCTGCTGCTGAATACTTCACCTTCTGTTTACTTCTTCTGCTTTGTAAGTTTGTCTGTTTTATATGTGTCTCCTTGTCTATTTTTTTGGGTTTAGATGTATGAATTGGCTTCAGTAAACTGAAATTTTAGCCATCCATTTTCCACAAAAATCCCTCTGTATATAGAATGTACATTAATTTCATTGATTTTTGAGAACTAAACAGAAATGAAGGAGATTTTATGCACCTTGTGCCCTTCATGAGAGGAGTGGGCAAGTTAAGGACTATTCTAATGAGAGTCACCTTAAAATACTCAAATGTTTTCATACTGGACTCCATTTCCAATTAAAAAAAATATCACAGCTTTGTATTTTAGTACAGCTGTTTTATGGTTACTCTTCTTTATTATGTGACTTCCTTGTTTTGTGGAGTACTATGTTCTGTGTATATACTTTCGAGTTCTATATAGAGAATATAGTTTTTCACATGGTAAAAGTTTTAAATCAAATACACAGAAATTTAATATCTACCTTTTCTATTTTTTTTAATCTATGCTGTGTGATGTAATGAATATGTAAAATAAAGTGCAACCTAGTTGTTCCTTGAGCAGTATTTGATTTGCACCTGGAAAAAAAATAATTTATAACAGAAGGCTGCTTTCTGTTGTTTTTTGTTTTATAACTGAACTGTTATTAACGTAACCACAGTGTTATTAGGCATAATGAACATATTTTAATTGGAGAGGAAATAAAATCTATTGTTTGTATAAATTAAAGTTGTTTAATTATAAAATTAAACTACATTAATTTTGCTATTTTTTTCTGATAGAATTTTGTCTTACAAATAGCTGATGAGTAGAAATTCGTAAAGAATTCAGCACAGATGTTTTATTTTGCCTTCTTGTGCCTTTGTGAAGAGTTTAGAGTTTCAGATGTCCTGCATGCGGAGATTTTTCAGGACAGATATGGACTGGCAGTTCTCACGGGCTGTTCCTTGCACCCCTTGCAGGGAGGGTTTTCTGTACTTCTCCTGGGAAATTGCAGGGGGGTTGTTAGCTCATGAGCTGGTGTATCTTGCCTGAAATAGCTTTTTTAGTTAAGGTGGCAAACTGTGTTTTGCTGACTTGCTTAAGCAGATGGTTGGTTACCTAACCTTGTCCTGGGTCATGTGAGAGGCTGCTGGGATCAGCTGGATCCAACTCACAGGCTGCAGGACTTGGCACGCGGCAACAAAGGCCTGCCTGGGAAAGAGACTGACCAAATTTGCTTAAACTGGTACAAAACTAAATCCTAGTAAGGAGATGATTTGGGGTGTAAATACAGTATGTAAAGTGTCTGAGAAAAGCTGGAAAGTAGGTGACAAATAATACCTTCTTAACTGACATGGAGAGGAAACACATGGTCCAAGTAATATGGAAGCAGAGCATAAATGCTTCACATTAAAGCTTGGTAACTTTTAAAAGGTATCCTTCTGTGTTTTTATATACATATCCCTTACTGCATCTTTTTCATATAATATTATAAAAGATACAGCTATATAGCAATTCAGCTTGTAATCACTTGGGGACATTAAAGGGTTAAAAGCCTGTTAGTGAGATGACAAAATAACTGCTCTGTAGGTTTAGTTTTTTGTTGGTTTTTTTTTTTAAATGCAATTAGAGTTCTATTCGGACTAATGTGAAAAAATAATTAGCATAATCATCAAATTCTGACAGCTCAAATTAGGAAGATACTTTTTTCAAATTACTTTGATTTTTCAGTATCTTAAACTGAGAAGTTCCATGGCTGCTGATACTGGGTGTTTAAAGTGTTTAAAGACATAGAAATGAGGGATGCAAATACAAGGAATGGAAGCACAGGGGCTTTGAAAAGGAGGTTAGCAGCAGGACAAAGATGCCTTGGGAGTTGATTTTCATAGAGGAGTTACTTAGGAGCTATACAATATATTTAAATATCAGTATTCAGTAACTTTCTTCCAGTGGCTTCTGTGTAAAATCTTCCATTTTATTTGTAGCAGCAGAACTATTAAGAAAGGGTTTTCAATAACACTTCCTGGAAGTGTGTTGTTTAGAGAGCTTGGAAAGTACACTCCTCATTTAGAAACGGAAGGCTAAAGCAAGGAAAACACGGACAGTCAAAGCTTTTGTTACACATGTAGCTTTTTCTCACTGCCTTGAAACATGGGGCCCAAACCATAACCCTGATTTACTAAGCTGGAGTTTGTGTCTCTACAGATTAGTAGCTGTCTGGGGTTTTTTTGATTTGTTCTGAGGCTTGATCCAAGGCTTGTAGCACAATAAAAAGTTTTTAAATTATTACAGCTTGGGTTTTGGTTTTGTTTTTTGTTTGGGTTCTTTAGGCTTTGTTTTTGTTTGTTTGTTTTTTTAATTAGAGTATTTAAACATTTCTTTTAACATGGCCTGGTTAGTTTTGACCACAGTGGTCCAATGTTTGTTTTTGTTAGCTGTGCATGCAGTCTGAAGCTACAGGACAAGTTTTCAAAGCATTGTTGTTAACCTGAGGCCTGGATTTGAGTTACGTTTTATGTTTGTTTTATTGAAACTAACAAAAATGTCATTACAAAGGGTTGGGACTGAGTTACAGCTGGGCACTTGATTACCATGTGCATGTGAATTGTCAAGCTGAAGGGTTGTACGCTGGGATGGAACCTTGCACGGAGCAGTGACATTTGCTGCCACAGTATTCAGGAACTGCTTGGCAGAGACTCTGCTCTGCCTCTCAAGGTGTGCAAGTTCAAGCACATGATGTGTAGGGCCCACCTGAGGGAAGATTGGCTCTTCATAGAGCAGAGGAGGAGCTGGAGGTTTTTGTGGCTTTTGCAGTGTTTTCTGCAGTGGTTTGTGTGTGAGCAGCGAGTTGTCACAGTGTTCTCTGTTACCCCCTGCTTTGGGCACGACTGACTCCTGTTGGCAAGGCCAGATGTCAAAGAATGGGCTAGAGAAGCACTTCCACTGCTGTCCCTGAGGCTTTTTTGTGCCAGTCCTGTGCAGAGCAGCTGGATTCGCCTCAGCTCTTGAATCATGAAGGATGTTGGTCCTCTTCTCCAAAGGGTCTGACGGGAAGAGCCACTCTAGCAACATCACCTTAATTACTCATGGAACTGAGGGACGAGTGAATACTCTCCCTCTTACCATTTTTTGCATGGCTTACATGTGTTACATTTTACTGAATATCTTGAAAACTTGATTGAGAAAATCTTTCCTCCCCTGTGCCCCTGCTGTGGCTTTGCACTGACTCAGGTTGTTGGGAGTCCTTTCCCATCTTTGTGGGCCACTGTGTCGTGTGGCTTCGAGAGCCCTACTGATGCTGCTGTACAGCTGCAATTACAATGTGGCTTTCTGTGAGGAGGCAAATGACCTGTGGCAATGAACAACCTGTGCTGAAATTCAGATTTTATCTTTAATTTTTTCTTAACCAGGAATTCCTGTTAAGCAATACTGACAGCAACATTACAGTAAAACTACAAGCGTTAACTCGGAGAACATGGCTCTGTGACTAACCTACCAAAACACTTTCTTTTTCCTAGGACAGTAAAGAGTATACATTCAGTTATAAATGGCTTGGATAAACAAAACCCCAAGGAAAATCTGGGCACAATGGTATTAATTATATTGTGAGTATATCATATTTCAAGGTGGGTGAAAACTGCTTGGTTGGTTTTGGATTGTTATTAATTTAGAGTTTTATAGCCTGCATAGGCTGTTGGCTGAGATTAATTGCTTGATAAGTAAGAATTACTGAAAATGTATTGGAGAGATATTTGAATTAGGGTTTTGCTCCCAGACTGAAACACTGTGCTTACTATCAAAAAAAATGAAAAACACATTTGCAGAGTCCCACTGTGAAAATATTTAGAAGAATCATTACAATAATTGCCGAAAAGCCAAGTTTAGTATAAATGCATATTGGTCACCTGCAAATTTTGGAAAGTGAATTAATCTAACCTTCAGAGATTAACTAGACTGTATTTAAATTTATTCATGTTATGTCTTTTTGATCTTATGAAGTTAGCTCTTGCTGTAAAACTCTTGACACAATTTCTCTTAAGTAACTTAATTTTGCAGCGTATGATGAGAGTCACCACTTAATCCAAATCTTCTGAATACCCGCTTTTCAAAAGTGGATATCGAGCCACAGTCATCTCTTCCTTTTAACTCCTGAGTAACAGAGAGAGGCTTTTGAGCCCAGGATTAACTTTACCACCCTGTCCTGCATAACTGACCCGTGTGATGTTATTGGAGTCACTATGGGAGCTCTCTCAGAAGGGTACAAACCACCAGAAAAATAATTGTTGCTTCAAATGGGTGTTTTGCAAGAATAGATGTAGCAAAAATAACAATTAGCACTTTCATAACTTTGTCAACAGTTGTTGTAAAAGCTTAATTGGCAATTGCAAGTTTCTTTGAGGAAGATCCATGTTCCACGTTGGGAGCTTCACCTCTGCTGGGCTCACAGCTGGAACCAGAAGTACAGGGGATGGAGATATGGGTGTGCCCTGGGGGAGTGGGGTTGGCAATTGTTGTCCTCAGCACATATTGTGTATTGTGAACATCCCAGGTGTGCCCTTCGCCACAGAGGGGGAAACACTTTGGTCACAGCTGCTGGCACTGAGGCTTCACAGCACTGCTGCTGTTGTGCTAAAGGAAGTGACAGTCTAAAAGAAGTATTTTTATCTTAACGGTTTTGAACATCTGTGCAAGCCACCAAGATGTCATAAACTGTTGTATTCCTTGCTACTTGTTATGCATTGTGCCACTTACAAAAACTCTTAATCACAGCTAATGACAAGATCACACTTTGCTTTGCTTCCACCTCCCACTGAGTCAGTCAAGGAAGTGGAAATGGCCCTGAGCCCCAGACACAACTGGCAGTAGGGGGGACTTACAAGAAACATAGTCTGAAAGGAACCTTGAAGTTGGTTGATGGTGAAATCTAAACCAAAGGGACATAGATATAGGACCTTGGAAATGTGGTAGGTCAGCCCTAGAAAACCATACAAGTTTATTATCTGAAAGAGTAATCTGTTCCTTGACCTTGTCAATAAAAACCTCCCATTGCCTTTACTTCTCCTTTAACCCTCTTAAGTTCTAGCCTCAGTAGTTTGTAGGGAAAAGACCAAGATACACCATCCACTGTCATTATCCAAACCCTGTGTTTGCCTGCACACACAGAGGAGAGCTGTCCCATTCATTTGATGGAGGATTTTCTTCAAAGCTTAAACATAAATGTATTTGACTTTGTTGTTTGTAATTGTTTTGCTCTATGATCTTATGCAGAGGTTGAGCTGAATAAAAACGTTTCTGTCTTAGTTCCACTCTTATTTCACCTAACCACAAGCCAGCCTCCTTCCTCCCCTTTCCAGGCAAACCCTGGCTCTGTGTCAGTCTCAGGAGGGCTGGAGCCCCAGGAAATCTGACCAGCTGAGAACTGCTTTCTGTTCCTGACGGGTGAGGTGCCCTACACATCCAGAGTGCGATGTAGATTCACTGTTTTTAGCTGTTGCTCAGCTAAAGCTGCTTCCCCCACTCGGTGCTAGTTGTGGCTGTTTGGCCTGCTTGACCTTATTTCAGTTCTTGGCAGGTTCTCTCCCCAGCCCTTTTTCTGTCACACAGGCTGTTCTTTGCTGCCTTTAACCAGGCCCTGCCACTTACCCGCTTACCCAGTTTGAAACATGTTTCTCTGGTTCCTGTGCATCCTCTTCAGACTTTGTCACCGATGCTGTCATAGTGCCTGACTCATAAAATGATCCTTGACTCACAATCCTTCTGCCTGGACTTAGCTACAGGACACTAGC